AGAGAAGGCTGAGAGGGGACCTTAGAAATGCCGATAAATCTCTTCAGCGTGGGTGTCAGGAGGACGGGGCCAGACTCTTTCCAGTGGTGCCCAGCGACAGGACAAGGGGCCACGGGCACAAACTGAAGCAGAGGAAGTTCCACCTGAACCCGAGGAAGAACTTCTTCCCTCTGAGGGTGACAGAGCCCTGGCCCAGGCTGCCCAGGGAGGTTGTGGAGTCTCCTTCTCTGGAGATATTCAAGACCTGCCTGGACGCGGTGCTGTGCAGCCTGCTCTGGGTGACCCTGATTCGGCAGGGGGTGGACTGGCTGACCCACAGAGGTCCCTTCCAGCCTCTACCATTCTGTGATTCTGTGACTTCAGCAAAAACGACTGCTGGGAGACAGGCACCCAGCTGTGGCCCTGAAGATTTGCACCTCCAGGTCCCTGTGGAGACAAGGGGAGGGCGGCACAGGCAGAGCCTTGGAAGGTGTTCAGAGGTTTCTCTAGAAAAGGGGAATTACATCTTCAGAGCACCTATTTCTGACATGCTAATAAGGAAGGGTCAAGCACTGCAGGAGGTTGCCCAGAGGAGCTGTCCAGTCTCTGTGCTTGGATGTCTTCAAGACCCAACTGGTTGAAGTTTTGAGCAACCTGGTTTGACCTCAGAGCTGGCCCTGCATGGAGGAGGAGGCTGGACCTGAGACCTCCTGAGGTCCTTTCCAACCTGGGTCACCCTGTGAGATGGAGCTCAAGCCTGCTGTTGGAGGGGCTGATAGCACCCACACCCCAGGAGCACAGTCCACCCCCCAGGCTCTGTCCTTCCCAGGGTCTTTGGCTGGGCAGCCCTACAAGAAGAGGGTCTGGAGGAAAGAGCCCTGGCTGAAGACCCCTGGTCCACGACTCTACACTTTCCTTTCTGAAGTCAGGCAGTAAAATCATAGAATCATAGAATGGTTTGGGTTGGAAAGGACCTTAAAGATCATCTAGTTCCAACCCCCCTGCCATCAGCAGGGACATCTTCCACCAGACCAGGGTGCTCAGAGCTCCATCCAACCTGGCCTTGGACGCTGCCAGGGAGGGGGTAGCCACAGCTTCTCTGGGCAACCTGGGCCAGGGCCTCACCACCCTCATGGGGAAGAATTTCTTCCTCATATCTAATCTAAATCTGCCCTCTTTCAGTTTAGAGCTGTTCCCCGTGTCCTATCACTACACCCCCTTGTGAAAAGCCCCTCTCCATCCTTCCTGTCGGCCCCTTTCAGGCACTGGCAGCTGCTCTGAGGTCACCCCGGAGCCTTCTCTTCTCCAGGCTGAACAGCCCCAACTCCCTCAGCCTGTCCTCGGAGGAGAGGTGCTCCAGCCCTTGGATCATCTTCGTGGCCCTCCTCTGGCCCTGCTCCAACTCATCCATGTCCTTCCTGTGTTGGGGGTTCCAGAGCTGGATGCAGTACTCTAGGCGGGGAAGAAGAAGAAGAAGAAGACTCTCAGCCTTCTGGAAGAAGGTTCTCAGCAGCAGGAGCAGGGAGGAGGAACCCTCTTGATCGCTCCTTGCCTGGTCAGGTGGAAGAGGAGCAATCTCATCTCAGATGTAGCATCATCCCTGCTCTGAAAGGGCAGGTCACCAGCCTAGGACATAGGAAAGGAGACATCTCAAAGCAGAAGCGTGCAGGGAAGACCAAGGGTTTCATGACCACTGGAAGACCCTGAAAACGCTGGGCTGCTGGCAGGGTTTGCAGCTGTGCAGATTTCCAAGGAAGAAATGGTGAAGAGAGGCGCTAAGCAGGGAAGCTGCAGTAGATCATGACTTGGGAGTGGCTTCCCAACTGTTCCCTGGGCTCTCTAGGTTCGGGCCATAAGGCTTTTCTTCTTCTGTGTAGAGAAAAAGCCTTTCCCCCCCCTTGACTATTTTCAGACTCTCTCAGCGTGATAAATAAATAGCAAATGTCAGGTAGCTCTCCGGGAGTGAAGGGATGCAGACAAAAGCAGTAACATCTGTGCAAAAAGCAAAGGGGAAAACCCAGATATCTGTGTCACCGAGTGCTGCACTGTTGGTGCAAACGATGAAAAACGGTGTTAAACCATCCAGGAAACGATGAGTTCGTTCTCCAGATTCTGGGACTTCTGCCGTGACGTGTCCCAGTGGAGAGGCTGCGTGGCTGGGGGTCTGCCTGCAGGGACACCGCTTCGGAACCCAGTTTTACTTCTATTAAAAAAAAAATAAAAATAAAAATATGTATTGCTCTGCGGCAGATGTTGTGATGTTCCCAACTCAGAAATACTTACAAATATCTGAAGGGTGGGTGTCAGGAGGATGGGGCCAAGCTCTTTTCAGTGGTGCTCAGTGACAGGACAAGGGGCAACAGGTACAAACTGAAGCAGAGGAAGCTCCAGCTGAACCTGAGGAAGAACTTCTTCCCTCTGAGGGTGATGGAGCACCCACAGAGGTCCCTTCCAACCCCCACCATTCTGTGATTCTGTGATTCTGTGATTTCCCTGGCCTTTAGATCCATAAACAGCCCTGGAAACCTCACGGCTTTGCATTTCCCTGCCGTGATGCTGCAGTAAAATCCCTTGTGAGCTGACCAGAACTGATCTGCTTTAAGGAGAGAAGTGTCCAGCCCCATCACCCTGGTGACGGCAAACATTTTCAGATGCAGACCGTCCCGCGTGGAGAAATACAAGAGACAAGATGACTTACGCCTGAATATGTCTCTTGTTTTTTTCCCTTGTTGGCTATGGAGGAGCCCAGCTGGAGAGCTTGGCCCTGACGGATGAGAAGGGGTGGACATCAACTGTGGGGCTACCCTTGGGTGCCTTCTCACAGAATCACAGAATAGTAGGAGTTGGAAGGGACCTCTATGGGTCATCTAGTCCAACCCTCCGGCCGAAGCAGGGTCACCTACAGCAGGCTGCACAGCACCTTGTCCAGGCGGGTCTTGAATATCTCCAGAG